GGGCCCTTGGCGGCGGCCTCGTGGGCAGCAGGCGGGCGGCGGGCCCGCGGTGCGCGGCGGCGTAGCCGGGGCTCGGCTGCGGCGCCGGGGCCCGGACGCGGGGCCTGCAGTCTCTGGCGCGCCGCGTGCAGCTGGCAGGAGAGGTAGGCGGCCGCCTCGGTGTGCTTCTGCAGCTCGGTGCCCAGCACGGTGGCGCGGTGGCTGCGGCGGCGCAGCTCCTCCAGGAAGCGGCGCTCCTCGGTGCGCAGGCTGCAGCGCAGCGCGGACACCAGAGCCTCGCGCTGTGCCACCTCCCGCCGCAGCTCCGCGTTGGCCGCGGCCCGCGCCTCCAGCTGCGACTCTAGCGCGCGGCACTTGCTCTCCAGCTCCCGTGACGCCGCCTCTGGAACGGAGCAGAGGCCAGAGGTGACGTTCTCCACCTGGCTTGGAACAGAACCTGCACGGCTCAGCCCTCCGAGTAACAAACCCCCCCAGGCCAGGCGCAGGGGCTCACTTCTGCAATGCCAGCACTTTGGGAGTTCGAGGTGAGCGGATCACTTGAGGTCAGGAGTTCGAGACCAGCCTGGCCAACATGGTGAAACCCCGTCTGTACTAAAAATACAAAAATTAGCCGGGCATGGTGGTGGTGGGCGCCTGTAATCCCAGCTACTCGGGAGGCTGAGACAGGAGACTCGCTTGAACCCGAGAGGCGGAGGTTGCAGTGAGCTGAGATCGTGCCACTGCACTCCAGCCTGGGTGACAAAGCGAGATTCCGTCTCAATAAGCAAAGAAAAAACCAAAAGGAAGCCCCACTCCTCCCCATGTCCCCACCTACACATCCTACCGCGCTCCCCCTCCTTCCCCACGCGTCGGCTCAGTGGCGTGCCTTGTTCCGCCCTCCTACCTGTTCTACACTCTGTTTGGCCTCGCCTCTAATTCTTCAGGTTTCAGCTTAAGTGCAAACCCATCCCTGGCCCTTTATTCATTCCACAGATAATTTGTGGAGCCCTGACTTGGTGCACTGTGTTAGGTATTGGAGATAGGGCTCGTAATAAAACGGTCTCCGTGAAGCTTACCGCAGAGTGGGAGAGACATAATAAATAATCACAAATAAGTGTGAGGTTGCAAATGTGATGTGGAAAGTCAATGCTGTGACTGTAACGGGAGAATGTGACCTAATCAGGGAAGTCTTCCCAGCAGAAGAGACTTGAGCTAAGAGCCGAAGGATAAACAGTAGTTAAGTAGTGAAGACAGGAGAGAAGGATGTTGCAGACGTAGGGAACAGCTTGTGTAAAAGCCCAGCGAGCAAGAGACGGAAAGAGCTGCGAGTGTGCACAGGAAGGGAGTCAGTGTCCTTGTTTCCTCCATAGGGCATTTCTCACATGTCTTTTTTTTTTTTTTAAAAACCTGGAAGTCGCTATCTCAGCGGACCAATATCCTAGGATTGGCCAGGGAAGTGATGGGGACCATAGGCAGAACAAAGACCGAAATGGCAAAGACACTTGAAGATAATCACCAAGTGATAAGAGACAAAGAGGGGCCGGTGAGAGTGGCTCATCGCCCCGTAATCCCAGCACCTATCTGGGAGGCAAGGTGGTGTGGACAGAGGTCAGGATTCGAGACAGCCTGGCCAGCATAGCGAAACTCCGTCTCTACTAATAAATACAAAAATTAGCTGGGTATGGTAGCGTGCCCCCTATAATCCCAGCTACTTGGTGAGGCTGAACCTAAGGAGAATGTGGTTGACCCGGCAGGTGGAGGTTGTAGTGAGCTG